GGACAGAGTAACTGGCTGGAACAGACTGTGAATTTTCCTCCTGTAGTTAATGTGGGTGACAGCGCAGGGGTGATGTACCACTCACTGTCAGCAGAAGCCTTGTTTTGGTGATTTCTTTACTGGCAGAGAGGAGACACCGTTCCCGCCCCAAGAATTATCCTGTCTCTTTCAAAAAGGTGCACAGCGACTGTTGGAATAAAAGGAAGCTTATTTAGAGGCTGAAAGTCCTGGTGAAAAGATCACTTGGTGACAGACAATGTGCAGGAGGTGACTGCTGCTCATTTCTGGGAAACTGCTGCCCCAAAGTTGCATTAAATTGGAAGCTCACAGCTGCTCGGGTTAATCTCACAGGATGGTGGTATGCCAGCTGATCCTCCCCTGCCCATCCAGAGGCACTGTCGCAGTTGTTCTTGTTCCATCTGGGTTTTGCCCATCTTCTTCCAACAGCCCTTCTAGCCACTGGGCTGAGGAACCTCTCCCTTGACCACAGACCCACTGTTGGCAATGCACCTCTGTCCCGGCTGAGCCCAGGAGACAAAGGGCCACCTGCACACAGCCCATATGTGTCCACCCTCAGTACCAAGAACATTCCCTTGCACAGAGACTGCCCACATGATGTGGTGTGGGCAGGTACTGCAAGGCTCAGAGAAATCCTGCAGTGATATGAGCCTTAGCTTGGGCCATGATACTCACCCTTGGTCATGCTCCCCTTTCTCTCAGAGTCCAGACGCTCAGAGTTAGCTGTGGCAATTAGTAGAACATGGAAATTAAATTGCTTCCACCAGTGCTAGCTCCGTGGCAGACTGCACCTCAGTCATCTGGAAAAGAAACAGTCCAGTTATGGCTGGGTCACTTACTGTGATAGTTTTGCATAAGGGCAGCGGTTAGGTGCTGGGTACTCCCCCATGTATAATGAATGAAAGGAAGCATAAGATAACAGCGTAAGCAACATGTAGAGTTTTGGTATAATCTGTTGCCAAGGTTTTGTTGTGTTTTCCTGTGCTGTGAAGCACAAAGCAGCTTCTCATCTCTGGGAAGTGATCCCTGCACCCAGGGTAATCACCAGTCACTCCTGCCTGGACTGCACAGAGCTCCACAGGGCTGACCGTGATCTGACCCTCTGCATGGACTCAATAAAACCACAAGAGAAAGACCAAGGAAGGCTAATATATCAAACGATTGAACACAGTGAAAAGAGATAAGTATGGTTTCCTGTACATATTGTTCCAGATTCAGCGTGTGTTAATTCGGAGCAGTGCACTGGGTTAGCCCTACCATGTTAGCTCAGAAATACTGTGTCTCGTCCTGGGAACAGCACAGCCACATCAATGTGGCAATGCAGGCAGAAGCATTAGAATTTTCTTTTGTGGGCTTTTCTGCCAGGTGAATGACCCCATCACATAATGTGGGCTGTCTCCAGCCACAGAGCCACCTAGAAAATCTTTTTGTGGCACAAGCCAGCACAAGTAGAAATGTCTGAGAATTCAAGAATGGCCACAGCTCTGTCTAGACAGCTGCCCTGTTTCCATCAGTGGCCAGGAACAGGCATAAGAGTGAAATAAGAACAAGACAAGTGTATATTACAGTTCCCCTGAATACTTCTTCCAGCATTCAACAGTTTTCAGCTCAAGGAATTTGTTCTGATGCTGGTCCAGCCAGGTCTCTACATGAGAAAATGGGAATGAGGACAGCACATCTTCAGTGCCCATGTACCATAGGAGTTTCATTTCACCAACACCACAAAGAAGGGATTCCGTGGACCAGGCAACAATCTGGACCAACACATTTTGAATTAAATTCACAGAGATTTTCCTTCCAAAGAGGATGGTTTTCACAAAGGATCCGTTAAGAACAGATTTTGTGAAGCAGAAGAGGGCAAGATAAACTGTGGAGGAGTGGAAAAGGACCAGGCCACTACCAGAATCCATCAGAAATTCTCATAGAGATGTTTCTGCATTGAAAAGAGAGAAGTGCACGGAGAAGTTCACGCCAACCTGCTCTCTTCCCTGCATACACAAGATTTGGCTTATGGAAAAACTGCTTCTAGACAGACACTTCTAGTTGAATACAGTTCTCCCTGAAGGATTTCCCACTTAGACCTGGCCTTTAATTGGAAAGTTTCACCTCTGTAAACAAGAATGATCCTCGAGGGAGGGGTGTTTCTGGAAGGGGATGCACAGAGCTGAACGTAGGAATTCCAATCCTAATTTATCTCAGGCAAACAAAATTTGTTTCGATGGGAGCATTAAGCGTCCTGCAGCTTGATATAAACTGATGGACTCTTGCTTACTCTTGGCATTTACTCTTGCAAATGAATCACTGTTACTTCCGCCTCCCTGCCCACCCCTCCACTTGGTTCCTTTTTAATTTTACAGCTTCCTGAGCTTGACACTGGGAAATCGATAAGTAATTTAGAGCCCAGTAAATACAGGCGAAAACAAGTTATTTTGTACTTTTATAAATATTTGGAAACCAAAATTATCTAAGAAAACAGGTGCTCAGTTGACTCAGCAACCCATCCATCAGCATCACACAGTTAATTGCATAAGATCATAAACATTTATAATTAGAAGGCAAACAAACAAGAATTTTATAAACAGCCCTCTTGAATCAGGCTGCACATTAAATATTTGTGATAAGGTAATTAAGAATAGATTTACAATCCTGGCTCAGTGTTTAATACTTCAGAGAATGGATTTGATTCTATGGAGAATGCACTACAGCCAAGGAGAAAACATTCCATTTCGGCTCTTTTATCAGAAGCTTAAAGTAGTCTCAGAGAAACATTGGCTCTGTCATTGATCAGGGTGGAATTTCATTCATTACAGATCAGACAGCTCATTTAAATATATGTCTAATGTCCCTTGTCATGGGCTGATCCACTTCAGGCCTGCTTCAAAGCTCTGTCTCCTTGGCCAGATCTGCAGGTTTTCCCTAAGTCCTGCTTTTTATAGCTGATGCTTTGATCAGAAGATGTTAGAATTCTCAACCATGTTTCAAAATAGGGAGGAAAACCCACATTTTTCTATTATGACATCATGGTGTTGGGTTATGAAAAGCTGGCATCACCACAGGATTATAGCTGTGCAGTCTCAGTGGTCTGTGGGAACCAGAGGGAAGCTCTCTCTCGTGCTGAACTGCCAAACACCATTCTCTGTCCCAAAATAGCCAGATCTCCCTACTATCCAGTGTAATTACTTCCACAGCCAGTAAGCAGGTTCAGCACCCCATTACAATGAATGTGAGAGTCCCCCTGGAGATAATCTGTGATCAAGTCAGCAGGGCTTCTAGTCATGCTTAAAACCAGAAAGACTAGAAACTCCATCTCTACTGAAGCTAGGGTTTAAACTCTGCAAAATCAGATGCAGACTCTAAGAAACCAGGTGGCTGCATCCCATCAGTAAGTAAGGGGGAGATCAGCCCTAAGGGTCGGATGACCTTCAGATATTTTGGGGTTTGATATAGCACAGGTTGACTCCAGTAAGTATCTGCCATCAGAAACTAGAACAGTCTGGAAAAGGTAGGTGGAGGCCGTAGAACTTGATTCATCAGGGATGGCCGTAAACCACTTCATTGTGTGGCGACCATCATCTCTCCACTCACTGCTCGTCCAGGCAACCTCCTCGTTTAGGCATGATTTTGCTGCTTATTTCTTGTGGGTCTTTCGTTCTTTGCTCTTGTATTTATCTACTTGCAACATTCAGGCAAGATAGCTGCTCTTTCTAGAAATATTTCTGATAATCTTGATTCTAACCAAGAATGGTGAAGCCATCACTGTTAAGAAGCTCTCCATGTGCTAATTCACCTGGTCCTACCTGCTGGTCCGGCTTCGGTTATGTGGGACACAAAGGCACTTCCCTACAGGCAGGTTGCTGCAAAACAAGGTGACTCAGTCCCCTTCATCCTGCATAAATCCCACTCTCTAGCAAAGCTTGTTCATTATATTACCGTGTGTCAGCTAAGCCGGTCTCCGTGAGATGTTGCAGCTACCTCCATCCTCAGTGGAGAAGAACAGCGGGGTGTTGCAGTCACTGTTGGACCTAGTGCTGTCAAGGGGTCTAGCCAAAGCCAGGGAGCTTCAGTGGTAACAAAGCGTTGATACTCAACTACTGCCATTGTCTAAACTGCTTCCAGCATTGTTTATTTCTTCCGTTTTCTTGCAAGGGTGGAGAGGACTTGCTGGGAGCAGCGCTCACTGGTGGGTGGCAGGGCCTGAGCTGCTCGCTCTCTTTGAAATGCGGGGACCTTTTAGAAGTCAGGTGTCTTACAGCCCATTGCCACCCCCAACCACCGGCTCTGGTACGTGCAGGACATACGCATGGCGTGCGCGCTCAGCGCACACACAGTGTAAGTTCATTAAGCGTGTCACTTCCCCCGTTGGAAGGGAGTGATGACGGACGATGAGGTACCTGCTCGGTGGACGAGCAGAACTTTGCCTAGGATGACAAACCATTTACCGCTGCAGACAGACCTTTTTTCTTCTCGATTGCCACCTCTGGCCTCCGAGTGCGTGTCTGCTCTGCTGCTGTGTGTGTGGGGAGAGGCTCGGGCTGTGCACGCGCATGACGCTGGTGCAGCAGACGTCACCAGCACATCAGATCCAGTTCCACCCCCTCCAAACACATGCCGTTAGCTCGGTGAATCATGCCTGTGCAGCAAGCAAAACTAGTCCAGTGATAGATAAACCTCGGGCGTTTATTGGTAAACAGATGCTGTTTGGCTGTAAGAGCATAACTCACTCTGCTGCGTTTACGATCCGTTTATTGATTGCTGAGATAAAGCTGTAATCCTTTTAACTCAGGGGAAAGGGATCCAGCAGAGCAGGAGCACCGGCACTCTGCCAGCTGGTAACTAAGATGCGTGATTTATCGTTGGATAAACGCCGGCTGAGGGAGAGCTGAGCAACCAGCTAGCTGGGGGCAGGATGCTGGGGTAGGTTTATGGTTCTTTCTAAAGTTTTGTTTCTGTTATATGTTTATTTCTTTCCCCCTTCCCTCCAGGTCTAATAATACACGAAGGGCCCTCGGTTTACCGGATTTTTAAACGGTGGCAGGCGGTCAATCAGCAGTGGAAAGTGCTGAACTATGACAAAACAAAGGACATGGAGGAACAAAAAACAGGGACCAGGACAAATCAGCGCCCCTCCTCCCAAACCACCCACTCGTCCTCCACTGGTGGTACAGCCACTAACTCCGCTCCAGCCGACAGCGGGGCACAGGCTGCCGGCCATGCCACCGGCACCCTCTCTGACCACCACTGTGCTTACACCATCCTGCATATACTCAGCCACCTGAGGCCTCACGAACAGAGGAGTCAGTCTAGTAGTAACAGAGAGCTCGTCATGAGGGTCACGACGGTCTGAGCCGAGGAATTCAGGAGGCCTTAACACGAAGCGGAGGAGACAAAGAACTCAAAAAGCAGAGGAGCATGGTGTGCCTTTTTCTTTCCTTTTTTTCTTTTTCTTTTTTTTTTTTTTTTTTTTTTTTCCCTCCTCTCCTTTTCTTTTTTGGTAACTGCACAAGATATAAGAGGCGGCACCTGGCCAGCTGAGGAAAAAAGCAGGTGGAGGGAGAGCTGCACACTCATGCTAAAGAGGTTAACGTTTTCCAGCCAGTTTAAAAAAAAAAAAGAAAAAAAGAAAAAAAAACCAACACCACAAATCACAGGAAAAAAAACCCAACAAAACAAGTGCAATACAGACTACAAACTGAGTAGGCAGAGTTCTGGGGAAGCAGAGGAACAGACGGTTTAGCATGTCTTACAAATCCTATTACCTGGAATAGGAAACGCTCTGTACGCACCCCCGTACACACACGCACGCACACACAAACACACACACGCAGTGTGAGATTCATAAAAACAAGGAAGGGAATGAAATATTTGGAGTATTTTTTATTTTCCAGACTGTGATTAACCAGGGCTATGAGTTGTTTTGTTTCATGAGTAACTCTGGAGCCTTGTTTGATTTACTATAGGATATCTGAAGTGAAATGGCGGGGGGTTTTTCAGGATTGATTTATAGAACGAGAGATGGAATCATCCCACCAAGAAAATCTAACAAAACCTAGGCATACCCAAATTTCACCAAAAATCCTGTTTTTTTCATAATGTTCCTGACAAGGGGTTTGTGAGGGTGGAACCGGGAGGGAGGGGAGGGCACTCCGTGACCTTTAATCGACATATAGGCATTTTTGGCAAATTTTGTACAAACGCTCTGCAGATGTTTCAAGCACAAGTACTGGTGTGATTTATGCCTTCATTACCCCAAATCCAGCACCCAAATCTTGCCACTCACACAAGTCATTTTCCATGCAGACATTCCAGGTTAATTTCCTTCCGTTTTACTCCGCTCGCAAGAAGCTGACCCATCTCAGTGGGTTTCTGCTTCCTTGCTGATTCAGACACTCATGCATTAGAGACTTACATCTTTTTTTTTTTTTCTTCAGTGTCTGTATCCCTGCTGCTCGATTTGCAACAGTCTCACTCAGTCTTGTAGGCTGAGCCTTTCACATCCGGTCTGTTAGTTTATTACAGAGTCTATTCCATTCAATCATTCCAGAAAGAGTTAGTCTGAAGAGGGAGCACAGTTGTTGATCAAACATGTAACACTTCTAATAAGTCTCCTTCTCTGGGATATATCCTCGAAGGTACTGGTTGCTCTTCAGGAACATTCTCTTTCAATGCACAATGGCTGAATCATTTGTGGATATTAAAGGGACACTGTCAAGTACTTTTTAAATAGTTTTTAGGGTTTGGGCTTTTTTTACTCTCCATTGTTTGTAATATTCTCTTACAAGCTTGAAAATAAAATTTCTTTCCCTACTGATTTTGTCCTTTTCCATTTGGGCACGTATCGTTCTCTCTAGTCACCCCGTTCCTTTCACCATCCCCACATTTCTCCTCCCCACTTCTCCTCTGTGACATGAGGAAATCCATGTTACTGATTTACTGCTGACTGTCCTCGCTCTCTGGAGGGTATGTCCCAGCTATACGGGGTTGAGCTGTTTTGCCAGTGCAGCTGCCACAAAGGGAGTGTAAGACCAGGAACCCTAAAAATGCAGAGATTAGCTAATAGAGGAGCAACAGCTCAGCAATCCCAAAACAATGAGCCTGTTGTGATTGAGCCTGAACCTGGCTCCCCTCAAAATTGAGGTCAGAACTTCAGCCAAACTGCACCCATTTAGCAGCAGTGCTGAGCAACGCTGCACAATGGCTGTGTCCAACTGCCCACCGTCACCCTACCAGCACCTCCTGCAGCTTCTGCTGGAGCCAGGGCAAAGGCGAGCCAGCAGCTCCATTGGCAGCCAGGCTGTCACGGGTCAGGTGTCTGGATCAGGGAAGGTGTCAAACATCGGGGTTTCAACACACCAGCCATTCTGCAGCATTGAAGATGGAGGTTAGCATCTTAAGGCAGGTTGCATTTTTCACCTCGGTTACTTGACAGTGTCCCTTTGAATATCAGAATGCAACAGAACAGGTACTTCTCTGGCAGAGACTGTGGGAGGTGGAACACCGGCCAAGAAAGCTGACTTACCGTGGCCCCATGTGAACCAGCATGGGTCCTGAGCCCACTGTACCTTTAACTGTCCAATCTTACTATCTACCAAAGAGTGCTTTTGGCAGAGGGGAGGGGAGGGAGGGGAAATTCCGATCATCTCTAAAAGCAGCTACCCCCAGAATGAAGGTGTTGCAACGAACGGTCTCTGGAAGAACTGCTTCTGATCCACAGTAGAGAAACCTGGCCAAAGCGAGCAAACACAGCAGCCTCTTGCCCCCATGCCTGTCCTGGAAGCTGTCCTCATTCCAAGAGATGAGTAATTTTGGTGGTTTTGGGAAAGAGGAAGCATACACAGACAAAAGGACAGCTATCAAACATGACGTTGTTTCTCTCCCTGCCCTCTGTTCATTTAATATGGAGAAGTCAAATTCCTTTAATTTGGCTAATGGCTAAACGTTTATGAGGTCAGAAGCACAACTTGCCATGAAAGAGCGGTGTGATCTAGTACTCTGAGCACACAGGACTCTGCATACTCTCACTCCAGCTCTGCCACCGACTCTGTAGCCTTGGGCTGTTTGGCTCAGTCCCCCCTCCATGCAAAGGGGGAATAACAATACGTACCTACCTCACAGGGGTGTTGTGAGAATCCACGTTGGTAAAGCCTGCTGAAGTGCTAAGTCCACCACCGGTAGTCGCGACGCACGTGGTGGGGGTGAGCAGCGCTGCCCTTTTGCTGGTTACAGTCCGAATCACTCAGCGGGAGTCCCACCGGCCCTCTCCCGCTCGGAGATCCTCCCTGATCCGAAGCGGAGGGTGTTGTCCGGGTGCCCTCTCCTCCATTGCATGACATTTTAAGCAGCTGTGAGGTGCAGGGTAGTGACAGACATGAAGTCCTACTTGACCAGGGATTTGCTACAACGTTTTCTATATCTGTGGGGTTTGTTGGTTTGGTTTTTCCATATATTGTGCTTAGAAATAAACTTTCCACTTAGGGCTGGCGGTTTGGGGTCTCTTCTGTTGCATGGCAATGTATACAAGTCTTATTGTCTGTCTTACTGTGCAAATGATCCCGCAGCCCAGTTTCACAGATGGGTAAGGTCTGAGCCTTTTCACAGCGGCGTAAGACTCCAAAGCCTGTCTAGACTGTTTAATATTTAAACAACACTATGAACCTGTCAATTGTATGTGTTCTGTGCAATACAAAGCATGTCATTAGCTGGCTTGATGGGCAGAGGGGCTAAAGGAAGGCCAAAACTTGTTCCAAGAGCTTCATATATGTGCCAGCACGGAGCCGAAGGGCTGCCACCAGCAAAGCAAACTCGGGGAAGCCATTGGAAACTGTTTCCAGAACAGTTTACTCCAGAACAAGGTACTTCTGAGTTTATGAACTTCTAGGCTGCCAACCTGAGAGAACAAGTGCAAATTTAGGGTGGGGGTTGGGGTTTTGGAGTCTCTTTTTCTTTCCTCTCCAAAGTATTGATGGCAGAAATGCCGACGAGGGTCTCTTCCTTCCGTAGCACAGTTCTCTCATCCGTCACAACCTCCTTGTGCCATCCCCTTTGTGCTACTATGCAGGACTTTAAGAGGTGCAAATGGAGACAGTACGCTCCTGAGACATGCAAAGTACATCGTGTATTGGGGGATTCTAGCAGACAGAAGAGATGGGGCAGAGCTACACTAGGCATAGCATAAGAAGGCATCTCTTCTTCCCCACGTCATTCCTCCAGCCTTGTCTGCTGGGTTCCTCAACGGACATTCTCTGTATTTTGTTACAAAACAGTCAGACCAGCATCCACTGACAAACAAAGCTTGCAGAGTTTGGCAGCTGTTTCTCCCAGAGGAGAAAATTCCAGGTCTTATCACTGTTGAGACCCCTCAGTTCTTGGGCTTTGTGGTCCTCCAACACCATCTGGGGGTGGTCAGTGTGGAGGACTGTGTTTAGCCATCCTCAGAAATCGTGTTTGTGGTCCTCCTCATTCTTGTGATTTCTGCTAGTCCCCTGATTTTCTGTCAGTTTTGATGGGTCTTTCTGGTAAAGCTCTTCCGGTTATGCTCTTCAGAGGTGTTTTGTCCTTTGTCAGTTGCCAATGCTATTCTTGCCTACTGAAATATCATTGCTGGCCTCCAACTTTCACAGCTCTTCCATTCTTGCCATCCAGTCTCAGTAAATACCCACTGCCAAGTTCAGACTCTTCCTCTGTGCCTGCAATGGCTCAAGCACATGCACTAACCCAAGGGTCATCAGAGAACACAGGGACCATGAAGAATCTGAAGGTCTGCATAACCATCATCCATATTCTTCACTTACCCAGTCTCAGTGCCTGCTGTTAATTGGTTGCCACAAAACCCCCATAATGCTAGCAAAACCCATATACCCAGCTAACACCTGCTTTCCTGTTTTGAATATCAGAAGTCGTGGACTGTTTTTCAAGTAAATCAGGTGTGCTCCCTGTTGTGGTTTCACAAGAAAGGTGCTGAAGTGGTCCGTGTCTTCCCTTGCCATGATGGGTGACCCAAGGAAAGAGCAAGTCAGCAGCATACATTTGAGACAAGAGAGGCATCAGCTGTCCACTATGGTTTTACTTGGGGAGACAGGAAAATACTACTCATGTCTGTCAGGTCCCTGACCCTCCTCAAAGCCCTTGTATCTGGCAGCTGTAAAACATCAGAGCCAATGCCTGTAGGTGGAAGATAGCTGTGAAGTTCTGAAGAGCATCCCATGCCCACACACGGTGGTCAGTAATTCAAACATCTTCTCTTTGTTTTCCTCAAGAAGAAAAAGATTATTTTGACTAAGCAAAGTACTGCTACTCCTCAGTGTAGGAGGAGGCTTCACCGTTAGCACTTCCAACCTGTGGTTCATCCACCAGGACTCCTGCACATCTCCTTATGAGAAAGTGCAGCTGGAAGACCTATTCCTTCCTCTTACGTTGTTGGCCAAGCACCTGGAGGGAAACAGACAGCAGTGCAGATATCTTAGTGACTACTGGCTGAGTATTCTAACCTCTGCTCCACTATTCACCTCACCTGTGACTGCTCTTTCTCATTCCTGAGCCAACAGATGCCTCATCCCCTCTGCCATTCAGAGACTCCAGCCCTGAAGATCTCCTGAGCAGAC